GACTATTGCTGGTCCCTGCATTGTGGTGACTTCCAAAGAGCAAATAAAAACCATGCTGCAGTGCCCTGGCATGATTTAGTCTAACAACACATACCTATCGCTCTCAGACCAACTGCAGTATTTAAAGTTGAACTTCATGAAAAGACCATTAAGACATTAAATATCCACAGGGGAAAAAAAAAAAAAAAAAGAGGAAGAAGATTAAAAAAAAAAAGAGAGAAACACCATAGGAATACAGGAATCAGTTTCTTAGAGGCGAAGGCCTGTGTCAAAGTTATGCTTGCATGTTGAAACCATGTTGTTACAGTACACTGCTAATGAAATGTGTTCCTCAAAACAGTTCATTCCCACCCTTCCAGAGAAGTGTCCAACTGGATCACCCCTAGCACTGGGGTGATCTGGAAACCTGCAGGCATTGCAGCAGCACCTCAGAGCTTCCCAGGCTCACAGGGAGAGAGCAACTTTTCAGCAGGGTCTACACACAAGATTCGCCCGTCCACCTTCTCCAGGTGAAAAGAAGCTGAGAAGAGAAGGTGAAAGTCTTTACTGACACGCCAGTATGTGAAAATTCAACCCTTTTAAATAGGATCTTAATTGCACTGTGGTGGTTATTTCTATCACAGCTGTAGCGACATGAATGAATTCTCTAAGTTCTATGCTCTTCTAAAGTTTTCTTTAGGCTTAGCCTGCAAGTGGGTTGAACTACACATTTTACTGAGAGTGCTGAATAGACAGCAAAGAAATGTGAGGTCTAATTATGACTTTGACACTGAATTGCTGTCCAAATCCATGCAAATCCTTAAACCTCTATGCATTGCATTCCCCCAAATGCAGAAAAAAAATGGACAGGGGCGTTGGACAAATGTGAAGAAGAGGGAGAATAATGTATCTCTCCCTAATGATGATGCTATGAAGTCTGATGTCTGAGAATCTCTACTAAGGACATTTTCAGAGAAAATGGTGACACCTATAAGTGGTACATAAGCAGATATGCTGGCAGATTGCAAAGAGTTCAGGCTGTTTACGGAAGCTGAGGTTCTCTCCTGCTAAATGTTGTTGTCATTTCATAATCAAGTAAATGGCAAAGAGCAACCTGCAAATTTATGTGCAAACTCCCATCTGTGCTAGAAGAAGAAAGTAATTTCAAAGATGAGAATAAAGCTGCCACGCAGTACCTGAACTGTATCATATTGAGATTACTGGCCATGGTACAGTGGTAAGGGAATTGAAGTTTGGAGTTTTGTGCACGAACACGCATGAGCATTCAGTAAACATATATTGCTGGGCTGTGAATGCATTCATATCCTTTGCCTTGTCAGGAAGGTCATGAGGACTATTTACAAATGATGTTTACAACCTCAGCCGAGGAATCTCAGTTTCTCTGTTATATTTCCTTTTCTGACACAGGCTATCAAGACCAATTACTCTTTCTGTACCTCGTTTTTTAATTTTTAAAATTCCAGTAACAACACAGGCATGGTGGGTGCCAATAGTCTGCAATGCATGGATCTGCACCACGAACGGAGTGGCTGTTTCCTTAAAGATAATATGATTTACCCTATGCCAAATATTTATTACTCTAGATGCAAGAAGAACTGTCATTAGAAATAGGACTTTACTATGCAATGGGGCGTAGCTTTTGAATGTACTTCAGATGCTAAAGTATTTGCACAAAATGGAATGTAGACAACTCACTGCAAATCTGGCAGTATATTATGGCTTTGCACTGGCAATTTTCTCACATTTTCATTTCAAACAATCTTTGAGCAAGGATTTTGATGCTGTTTTGGAATGCTTGTGTTCAGCTTTATGCAGATGTGGGTTCTGAAAAATGATTAAGAAGCACCCAAGCACAAAAATAAAATCTGTTAGGTTCTGTCCAAATTACTGCTGGGATTAGCTTAGCACAGTGATCACTTCTGAAGTCTGGAATAATATCAGGGATGCACATAATCTTGAATATTTCTGATATAAAGTGTGTTCTAAATGTTCGCATCTTCCATTTCACTGCTCAGAACTGTATTTCTTGATTTTCTTCAAGTAGGAGACATTCACCAAGAAGACAGCAGCAATATATAGCACTCAGACAGCACTTTTTTATTTCATAATGTTGTAAGGATTTTAAAAGTTTTCTCAAAACACAAGTAAAAAAACCTCAGAAATAAGGAGAGAAAGGTACTAATGGGAATTGGGTGTATGTCTGTATGCCCTTTGACAATCACACCCACTCCCATAGTTATTTTTCTGGCCAAACCATGAGTTCAATGCATTTGTTTATTTAGTTTGCAGTGAGCTCTGTTTCCTATTTTAGTGTTTTATTCACATCTCACAGTAATCACTGTGATAGCAATGCTGTGATTTGTAATGCCAAAATGTCTTATCTATCCCCTGTAACCCAAAACCCTGTGATGAAATGCCCTATGCAGAAGGTACTGAATGGAAAAATATCTGATGCTGATGTGGCCTAACAGCAACATTGGTAATAGCTCTAAAATTAAAGTTGAATAATTTAAGTTGATTTCTTTCATAATAGAAAACTGGCTATTGACCAGAAATGTTGTGAAAGATTAAAAGCAGTTATAAACTTAAACCTGGCTCGTAATTTGAAATGTTTAGGAAATAGTCAGTTCTTGTATCATTTTCATTTGGTGAAGGAGCAGTCAACATACATAAAGCATGCATTCAAGAATCCTTCATTCACTGAAAAGTGTGCTCAAAAATTCTCTTGTCTTTCTCAAACTTCATTTTAATTAGTGTTGCACAAGATTACTCCAATCAAAGTAAGTCAGCACTAAACATTGCATTCTGCATTCAGAATGGTATTCTGTAATGTTAAGTTCTGCTCCGTGGTGAAAGTATCTGTTCAAGACTGCCCTCAGTTCTTTCTCCTGCTTAGCTTTTCAAACACACCCTTTGTCTTAGAGCTTTCAAAATATTTTTAAGTATTTTTAACTTGGCATGAAGTTTACTGCTGGGAATTGACAGTCTTGTGCATTTTCTGCAACAGCAAATACTGTCATTTGTTTTGAGTGACTAAATAGCGTGTGGATCCAAAATCGTATTCATCAAGGTAGCCAACTTTGTGGTCAGACTCTAGAGATGCTGATGGGCTTATGGCAAGGCACACAATTACTCAGTGAATTTCTCAGCTGCCAACTGTTTAATACAGAGATAGAATTCAGAGCACTACCTGCTGTTAAGGTCAGTACCAGCAAGGTGATGTCTTGTAAATCTGTGTGTATGTGCACTCTTCTTCAGAGATTGACTGTTATTAATTGGTTAAGGAGTGGTGGCTGACAATACTTAGCTGCCTCTGAATTTAAATGCCTCTTCATCATTTGTTGTCATAGAAAGCCTTCTTTGAGAAAGCAGCAGATGACCTGCTACTGATAAGAATCCTTTATAAAGGTCAATTTTTACTAAGACTTAGCCACATTTTTTGAAGGATTTCCACTGCTAAGTCACTTAAATTGTTCACGTTACTTTCACTTCGTTTACATTTACCAAAAAAGGCACAAGTACTTCCAGGCTCATCCTGGAAGCTCAAATGGATTATACAGCAGGATTAGTTATTGCATTTCTCCTCAGAAGGGATTTATCTGAGCTCTTCTGAACCAGATAGACTATAAACTCTTTCAGAGAAGGCATATTCAAAATAGCATTTTTTCTCTTCATGAGCCAAACCCTTCATGCAGAATGAGTGCTTATGAGACCTTTTGGTTGCATAGTTACACCTCTAATAACTTTTTTTTTTTAAGACCTCCTCATTATAAGGGGAGAGTGTTTTAAATCTAGCCATAAAGCTGTTGTTATCATTCTTTTCAATTACATTACAGTGCACAACAATTAATTATATCTAATCCTTCTCACAGAAGTGTTTACAAGCAAAGAGAGTACCTCAACTTTCTTTCAATAAAAGCGTAGGACTTATTATGTCCCTCTAGGTATTTTACTCATCTAGCCTTTCTGTACTTAGGATTATAATCATATTATTTGCCTTATTGGAATTTCCCTATAGGAAAATAAACATCAGTTCTTGTCAGGCATGATCTTTAAACTATATTGTGTATGGGAAAAATATTCCCACATATCTCCTAATCAAGATCTAGGATTTAGTGAGGTAACTTCAGCTCACCACCTCCACTCGTATACAGACTTGCTGTGATTCATGTGAAGGACCTTTCTGGATATGGAATCCTTATACATATATTACTTTACCTCCTATTTGTAGGACTTTTGCATAGGTATACTCAAACCAGAGGTCCAATTCAAACTGATGAAAAACCTCATTGACATCAAAGCAAGCAGCCAGGGCTACTTGGGCAGCTGGTGCAGCACTGGGGGATGGATTTGGACAGAGAAGCTGGTGGTGCTGCATGCATGGAAGGGATGTATGCTAAACTAGACTTACTGTGGTCAGAGAATCCTTCAGTTTAGTTTCAGATTTCAGGAGCCTGTGTTGCACAGCCTAAACCAGCTCCCGGACACAAACCAAAGCACTGTGAGTGGGAATAATAAGATTCCTTTTGAAAAATCACTGCTGATCTGAAATAAATGCTAACTAACATAGATGCATCCATGCATCTGAAGTACGTTACACTTAGGACAGTTTTGTATTTGTATCCTTTGTATTTATTTTTCAGAATGCATCCCTGTCTGGGCAGATGGAGGTGTGGGGAAAGAACAGTTTCAACAGCCACTCTTGTTGTTGGCAAGGTCACAGAAGTGGTTTCTTTCTATCAGGCTTGTTTTCCGTATATTCTGAAATGATGATCTTTTTTTTTTGAGTGAAATAGTACTTCGGTGTTCAATTTCTCTTAAACCAAATGCATTCCACAGATATTAACTTCAAAGTGGGAAGTTTTCCTCCAAGAGAGACCTTTCCCTTGGAAAAGGAGAATTGGTTATCTGGAACACAAAATATGACAAATTAGTCTCAATTATATGTTTCCTAGACTGATAAAATCACCTGTCTTCACATTTTTACTTCTTTTTTGTAGAGCCATGTTTGACTATGACAAGAGCAAAGACAGTGGTCTCCCAAGCCAAGGCCTCAGTTTTAAGTATGGAGACATTCTTCACGTCATCAATGCCTCGGACGATGAGTGGTGGCAGGCGAGGAGGGTCACCCTGGAGGGAGACAGTGAGGAGATGGGAGTTATACCCAGCAAGAGGAGGTGAGTGCTGCTTCCTCCTTCCTGCCTCCTTGGCCGTGATGTTAAAATATTCCATTTTATTAGAAAAACAGCTTGTGTCAATCTATTGAAAGAACGGGGAAGTAGAGCAAAATCCTGCAGTCATTACTTCACAAGCTGGATGATAAGGTTTTCACTGTGAGATTTAAAAACTTTAGGCTGTTTAACTGTACTGAGAAGAAACTGAAATGGTGGCTTTTATTATAGTGGATATATTATTTTATAGTGGATTAACATCTTCACAGAGAAAGGCAGGATGGGAGACAGAGCGAGAGCACCATCTAATAAAGAACATCAGCACAGAAAGAAAAACCAGAGCCTGAGTCTGGGAATTAGCTCCAAATTTGAGGTAGAGCACATGTTTTAATGTCAGGGTGATTAGCCATTACATCAAACCGTTGAGGGATGTGATGAATGTCTTGACATTTTCAAGCCAAGGTTGTATGTCTTTCTTTTCTGAGAGTAATAGAATTAAACTGCTGAGCTTGTGTGATGTAAAGAACAAAGCTAAATTACATAATGATCCTCTTTGACTTCAAAAACTGTTAATTTAATCTCTGCCTGTCTGGAAACTGATGGATAATCAATATTGCAGTATGTTTTTCATGTAATGTAAATGAATGCACTTTTATCCATTCTCCAAGCTAAATCTAAATCTTTCCTTAGCTGTGATGGATTCATGCTGACTAGAAGGGAGAAAATAGACATCTGAGTCTTACCCTTTGTTTCTACTGTTTACTCTGTTTGGGTGCTTTTGTAAAATTGGCCACAGGTCTCTGATAGTATCAGGACTATGGCACAAATAAGTATTACTTTGTGCCTCTGTTGATAGTTGCTATAGAAAGGTCAAGAACTGAAAGAGTGGGAGGAAAATGAAATCTGTCAAACCACATTACATTTCTCTTTTGCAGCAATGCTCCCATACTGCATATAAACTTTCTATTCCTAGCTATTTCAGCTTTAGCATTAATATAAAAATGATCATGCCCGTTTTATATAATGGGAAAATGGGATCTTTGGTGCTTTACAGAGCACCTGCTGGCATTTCAAGGAGAACTGGCCCGGATGCTAGTAGAGCTCATGGTAGCCCTTGTTCTAAATTACATAAAAGTGAACTGAAAGGCCTTGAAAAACCTTATTGACATTAGCCCTGCAAAGACCTTATTTTCTCTAATCATTACCATGTTTGAATAACAACCACCAGGATATTCAGAAAAAGGCAATCACAAATGGGAAAAGGGGAAAGTCTGTTCAGTTACTACTGAGAGAGACAGTGCACAAAGCTCACACAGTGTGATGTATGCCACAAAATGCTATAAATAACTATCAAACATAATAAAATACCTATAGGGGAAAGAATGACAAAGCAAAGCAACTAATTCAGATGTGGAGTTGTATCTTCTATAAGATGGAGTGGATGCAAACGCCTAAGGATTATTTGTTTGACTGCACAGTGTTGCTTTCAAGAAGGACCAAAAACAGAGGCTTTCTAGTCAAGGTCAGACATATGATATGGCTTGGAGAAAAGATGTGACTTACAAACACTGGGAGGGAAAAAAGAAAAAAGAAAAGATGCAGGTCTAGTTACTATGCTCTCTGCTTGTCATCCTGATTCTTCACAAGTGAATCTCAGCAGCCTGAAAAAATCAATGGCATCTGATTTCCTGTCTGCAGTAATATAGTGATGTGATACACCTCAGCACGGAGGTTGCTATTGTTTCATACAAGTTTTCAGTTATACAAGGATATTTTTGCCAGTGCACTGAAAAGTGGATATGACTTCCTGTGGATTCTGGCCACTGAATCCAATAAGCTCTTGCCAGCAATTTCTGTGATCATTTACACCACCTAGGGTGAGGATGAGCAATCAATGCACAGTGAGCTGAGCTATATGGGATAAAACTCATCAGACTTGCCGGAATACACTAATTCAGAGTTGAATTTCCTCTACGTGCATTGGTTATTTAGTCTGAGAGGCTCAATCCAAGAGTAGTCCTGGAATTCATTCATCTGACTGAATATAGACATCATGTAAGCTGGTTTCTCCAGGCTGCTGTTATATGTCTTATAGTTTATAGGCGACTATTTCTATAAGAACTGCATTGTGTGTAATTGGACATCTGTAATAGCAAGTGGTAAGATATATGGTGTAGTAGAAAAGAAGAGCTTCTGTGGCTGCTCACTGAGCTGTGACTTGCCCTGCAAGCCCACCTTTCCGTGATGTTTTAGGCTGAAGAGATTATATATTGCTTTTGTTCTTTTTTTAGGCTCTTCATTTTTCCATCTGCTTTAGAATTTGTTGGTGGTGGTTTTTTTCTTTAATTTTATTTTGTTTCTTTTGTGTGTGTGCATGTACATGTGTGTTGTACTTGACCTCCTTCCTTTGCCCATGCATTTATCCTTTGGGACTGCAACAATTATTTGCACTTTGGGTCAGGGGGAGGCTGTACAAATCCAGGGGTTATTAGTGCCAGAGTGAGTCTTTGAGTTCTGGTTTGCTCTCTCTCTCTAGTCCTACAACAGATAATATATAACCCCTGCATTTTTCATAAGTGAAATTATGGAATAGCTCTGAAAGCCACTAACCTCTTCAGTTCCACTTTAGTATGTATGCTCATGTATGTATATAGATGTTCATACAAATATATACATATATGTATATATACACACAAAACCGTGACACATACAATGTATTATTTCTTTAAGGCATTGTGTAATGGTAATTGCTTTCCAAGCATTTACTCTTACCTTTCTTTTTAATATTTTTTCAAAAAGACACCTTCAAACAATGACATTGCAGCATGAGCTGATTCTGATTGCAAAATAAATCAAGACTCCAGACTCTTCTCTATGATGTATGTGACATAGCAGTAGAAATCATAACTTATAATTGCAGGGGAGCTGCCACTCACTCTTCTCTCCAGGATGTTGTGTATATTACCAGCCTTTATCTCTTAGTGATTCATTAGAGTCTGAACGATATTTGCCTTTAGATTTCAGTGCTGCTGTCGATGTGTGGACTTGATGCCTTATTGATTGTTAAATTATAAAGTCAAACTTCAAGAGGGAGTTTTGGAGAGTAGCACAGCAGCTAAAGGAGGGTTTCTGAAAGAGAGAGCGCACGGAAATGACAATGGCCTTGTGTTTCCGCATTGATCTGTGCAAGGACCAAATCTCACAAATTGTTGAGGTGGCGATCCCAGTGAGGGATCTAAAGTGCTGCAGTATTGCTGTAACCCTTTCTTCATCTGGAGGCAACATTCTGTCCATTTCTTAAGGACATTTGTATGCATTTGCTGTTCTGCACCATGGTACTGAGGTAAAAATCAAACAGTGCCATAGAAGTGTTATGATTCTGGATCGTATTGATGTTGGCTACAATAGGACTTCAGCATAAGAGACTGTAAACCACTTAAGCTGTGTTTTAACAGGAACCAAATAGTTGTTATCATATAGTATTAATAAATGAACGTAACAGGCTAAATTGGTCCTGGTTCCACATCCACCACAAAGATTTATCCAAGTTGTGCCTACGGTGACAGTGGAAAACAGTTCAGAGAGGGTTTCCCAGGTGCTGCGACACACCTTCAAGTCCTATACCAATGTCTCAGCAGCTTATGGTCCTATTTGAACACTACGTTTAACTACGTGAATTACTAGCTGATCATTAAAAATTACTATGCTTTATACTAGAATGGCCAGTAGAATTATATTTACATTGGATTTTTATTACATTTAGATGTATCAATTTAGCTTTTAATTTCTACATATATATCACTGTAATTTCTTGTTTCCCTTTTCAGGCAAAGTAAATGGGCCCGACTTCCCATAACGGGCAGTAGCAGGCAGAGCAGCCTATTTCTAAGACTCCCTCCCAATGGAAATTCTTACATTCAGAAAGGTCAATCAACAAAAAGCGTGAAACCAGTGTGCATAAGTCAGAGTGTATTAAAGTCTTCCACAGATGCTTTAATTCAAGAGTACAATTTGATTTGCTGTGGCACTGATTTTACAACTCTTTTTTTTTGTGTTGTTTTTTTTTTTTAATTGCAATCTCTATATAATGGCAACCTCCAACTTCATGAATGGCAAGCTTCAGTATTTTACATGTTGTGGCACCTCTGATCTGTGGATCCAAAGGGATTTTATTCTGCAGCGTCACACACATTGCCCCCAGAACAGCCTAGCCTAAATTCTTCCTACTTCTACATTTGCTTCCTATGTAGGCACTGAGGATTTGGTCCTCTAACACTAAATCAGTCACGTAATCCTTCTGCTGTCTACAGGACTAAACCACTTGTGTTGTACATCACTCCAAGACTTCCATTTTCAGGTAGCTGAAAAAGTTATGTAACTCGTGTCTCTGTTATATACCAAATAAATGTGCGTGATGGCACCACGCAGTCGTGTTATCAAATGGACAGCATTCTCACAAAACACACATGTAACCACACTTTCCTTTGAGAAGAAAATGGGAGAAAAAACATTAAAAAACAATGTTTTGCAAACATTTGTAAGGACAAGGAACAAGAGGACAGAACTCCCCGTGGGCAAAAAGCCAGTTCAAATTTGTTATTCTGCTCAGCTTGGCAGAAGGGCATGTTTATCCACTCAAGTGAGTTTTATTTTTAATGGTCTCCTACAAACTGTCCACCTTGCTAAATATCCCTTAAGACTTTAATCTTTAGATGATAAAACTTTTTTACATGGCATGATCTTGTAAGCTTTGTCTATAATAAGTTACCTGACTATACTTACTAACCTAACGGAAACAAAATAAGTACAGAGTAAAATTGATTTCTATGTGTATTTATAATTCTCTTGTTGTTCCCTGGCAATTACGGGAAAAAAGGAGAACAGCCTCTAGCTTTTAAACAGAACAAGGTTGTTCAACAGTTTTATGAGAAGTTGGTTCCCACTGGCATTAGGTCTACCATTTTCATAAAATATTCACCAAGTGCTGAGCTGCTTTCTATAAGCAA